TGGACTCGCGTAGGCGGGTATAAGCAGTTGGGTTGTCATTCTGTCATTCTGTCCACACAATTTAATTGATTTGTAAAAAAATTATCTTTTTGTTTGAGCAGTCTAGAGCTCTATTTCTTCTTCTAGCAACAGATAAAGTTGCTTTCTTTCATCTAATTATGCTCTTGTAGCATCCCGTGGCACCAAAAGCTGTGAACTGCTAAACCAGGGGACCTCTCTCCAGGTGAGAGCTCGTGTTTCACTCTACAGAGCCGAGATTTGCTTCAGAGGTAGAAAATCCCATCTAACGAAAAAGAAAAAGAACGATTTTGTCCTAACTTCGTTGTTTGTGAGTTACAGTTGCTCAAACTTTGTGATTTAGCCTCTTGGAGAATTTTTCAGGCGGCACTGGGGAAAGCAGGAGCAACCAAACTCTCTCAGTCTCTTTTAAATATCTAGAAAAATTTTCTGTGCCAACTCTTTCTTGGAATAGAGCTTCAGATGCTAAAATAAATTTCAGCTTTTCTTCTTTCTCCTACCCATGTGCCATGATTTAGCTAGTTAGTTGTTGACCACACCCATAGCTTATTTTAATTATCATTATAACTACACAGAAAAAAATGGTGTGTTCTTTTAGCACAAAAAAGTGTGTTAAATGCATGTCCCAACTTTTAACACATTACATACATGTTAAATCAACCCACAGCTTGTGCGTGCCACTTCAACATTATTGAACATGTTAAAATAACACAGTTTTTCTGTGTTAGTTAAAATTTTAACATTAATAATAGTTACTTAATAGTATCATAGTAATAATTAAAAGATGGTGTTTCTCATAGCAGTTCTAAATGTCATCTTCCAAAACAGGACCTAGTGACTCTGCCGTAGCCTTCTCTGATGCTGTAAGAGCTTTCTTCAAAGCATTGACACATGCTTTGTAACGTGCTGGCTTCTTACTGGTGGTATAATCGGGTGTTCCCATTAGTTGCTCCTGTAGAAAAAGCATCAGAGACAAAGCAGGCGTTTGCTTGGGATAACTGATATGGAAGACGTAGTATGATGCAAGGAGAGCTATCAAACCATCAACAACTGAAAACTCAGTGACCTCAAAGATCAAAGTCTTCTCTGCAACAATGAAACCTTGCACAATGTCACCCTCACTAACATCAGACTCTATAAGAACTAGTCGTGGCTCTGAGAATATGTTGTGAGAAACAATCGTATCAATGTCACTAGAGCTCTAATTTTAAAAAAATTTAAAGCATATTAATATTAATAATTAATTATCTTACATCATATATCTGAAATGCAGCTGGTAATTCATGTGTAGGTCCACTTCTGAACTGCTTATCAATTGATATCAAAGGAGCAATGGGAGTTTTATTATCTGACTGGATGAATGGACACAACCTATTCCACTCTCTCTTCATGTTAGTAACGATATCTTTGTTCGTCATTAATTCAAACTCCAATAAAATCTAAGTTAAAAAAAATTAATTATGTATCCATTATTATAATAAAAATTTCTTACCCATATCTTTTTAGAAAAGAAGGGATAAGTCTCAACTATTTTATTCAAGCGTACTTGACAAGTCGAAATCTCACTCCGCCTATGATCATGTGTTAGTTGTATTAATTTCTTCATTATCAAATGGTTAGGATTAGTCTTTTTAAATTCTGTTTTTAGGCTGCTATTGTTTCTATCATAGGAAACCTCATCACTTACTGGTGGATTAGAAACCTAAAAATTACTAAAATTAAAATGAAGATTTGGAATAGATACTAACCACTGCTAATGGAGATATTGGTGGTAACTTTGAGACTCCGATCAGTTCTTCCTTTGTACCAGGATTTGGTCTTCTGATATTTCTGAACCTTTGTGACAAGTAGTCCCTTGTAGTACTCTATTTAATATGCATTATTAAAGTTACATTGTTGCATGCATGTTATTTATTTACCCAGTATTCAGTACAATTCACATCCTGTAACATTGGATATTTATTACATAAAATCTTAGCCATTTCCTGATATTCTGATGGTGTTGGGTCTGGACAAAGACCATAAAAGAATGAAGCACTTTCACGCAGCATTCGATATTTAAGATTCCCAGAGATTTCATTCTTAATGATGCAATTGTATACAGCTGGTGTGAAAGCAGGTGGTATAGGACATGGCTTTGGTAACCTCTTGCTTTTTAACTCTCCATAAACATCAGTATCCTTTTTCTTACAAGGAGGTGAACCACTAAGCTCTGGTGACATATCTCGCTTACGAGTAGGTGATATGCCTATCACAATTCAGTAATATTTTAAAAATTATCACTCATTCACTCTGCACCATGCATACTTTTATCACTTGAAGTGCTTAATTGACTAGAACTGGTGCTACTGGTTTTGACATTCATAGGATAAATCGAAGACACTTCAGAAAAACTAGCAAACTCCTATTATTATATGAGACATCATCACGAATGCCCGCGCATGCATGCATGCTAGTTACCTCAGTGACGATACGTTTTATCTTCATTCTTGTGCTACTTTGCGGGACTAAGTACTTAAATTCTTCTAGATCCCCTATTAGTGACACTAAAGACTCACCATCAATGCCATTATCTATAAAAATAACACAAAGCGAGTAATGACTCCTCTCGCGTGTCCACTTGCTTTACCAAACAGTGACTCTATGACATCCTCCTCTATTTCATGTTCATTTAGGATTCTTCTAACGTCAGCTACTGCAGTACTACTTAAATCCATGGCTTGATAAGTAGAAAGACAGAGATTGTACACCAATAGCCAGCTGCACTGCGTTAACTGTACTTTGGATTGCTCGTATCCCGTGGCAACACCCGCCAAAATAATTAAAAATGCCGATGTTTAATTGCAGTTTCTGCTCTTTCAAAACCAAAAGAAGTACAGCTTTGTACAAGCACGTCAGAGGATGTCATGCTAATGATCCCAACTTTATGGTGTATTGTCATGTCTGTGGAGCTTCATTTACAAAGTGGGATACCTTGAGGAAGCATGCACAAAGAGTTCATAGTAGAGATAATAGTAAGTTCAGTGTAACTGTGATGGTATGAATGCATGTATCAATGTAATAATAGTTGGAAATGAATTTCAAAATGATTGTGAAGGTGAAGCCATCAGTAATGATGAGCTTGATGATATGGAATCAAGTGATCACACAGCAGCAGCCACAGATGTTGTCCCGGCAATTGATATGGAGAGAGAATCAGCTCTTTTCTTGTTACGAACCAGTGATGAATTGTCACTCTCACATAATGGAGTTGATAGGCTATGCTCTTCTACTCAGTGGTTCATTGATACAGTATCAGAGTCAATAAGTCAGAAAGTCAAGGGATACTTAAGTGGAATTGGTGTTGAGTATGATGAAAACGATATCGATGGATTATGTCACACAGAAAATGTATTTGGTGAACTGTCTTCAAGGTACTATAGGGATAATTATTATGCTACTGCATTCAGTTATGTGGTATGTGAATATCTATTGTTGTGTAACTAATATAAACATGTACTGTTAGAAACCAGAACCGGTTGCCTTGGGCAGTGAGTGGGAATGGTCTACAGTAAATGGTGAGAAAAAACTTACAGAAATAGTGCAATATGGATACTATGTAGACATTTTTGCTACACTGAAGGTAAGATCACATTTTTGTGCATATGCATAATTATGACACATCACAATTACATGTACATACTACATAGGGACTTTTAAGCAATCCAGCAATGGAAGATGAATTAACTTTAACTCACACAAGCACTGATAACATTAAACGTGACTACT